AATTGGACAAATACCTCAGGTAGTTAGTATTGAAACACAGGTAGAGGAGATACAACAACAGACCTTCTGGCTGCAGACAGTGGGGCCACCTGAACGATTCTTCTCTAATCACTTTAGTAACTTCTTACCTGATCACTGGAATCCTGGGCGAGGCTATTGCCCCACATAGGCCTGACCATCTGCTTATGGAGTGGTTCTCCTAGGCTTAGTGAAACATATTGTGGCTAAGACTCGAATTTCTGAAGAAAAGCTGTAGAATGTACTAGATACAACACATCCTGAGATAAGAAGGGAATGGCTAGAACACCTCAGGCTTTGTTCCAGTCCTCCCAGAACAGGATTCCTTCCAGTCCAGTGTGTCATGTAGCCTCTGGGATCCTTCTTAGCACTGCTTCTCAGAGTCCCTGAACTTAGAAAGAAGTGACACATGGGCAAATGAGACTCTATCCACCCTCGGCAGTTTTCCAGGCCCTTAGGAGACTAGGTGGCATTGATTCCTGGGCTTCTGTTGTTTCTTGGTCCCTATCTGCAAGAAATACACCTGCTCTGTGTAGCTTGTGTGTGTATGAGCTCTGTCTCCATGGACTCAGCCAGATTGATAACAAGAACACAGTGACCCTGTTTCACATGTCCTGTGCGCCTATACTCATAGCTCCCCACAAAAGTCTACAGCAAGAGTTCAGAAGACAGCTATTAAAATCTACATGTTTATTTTTCCACTTATGGGAAATTATGAGCTATGTGGGTTTCATGTGCTCTTCTTGCTGATCTTTATAGTGTGTATGGCATCTAAGTACAGGCAAATTGTGGAGGGTAGGGAAGGGGAAAGGCCTGTGGTGTGCTCCATTGCCTCCATCCTAACATTTTTCACTTTGGTATCTTACAAACCATAATGTCAGCCAGAAGGGAGGAGAGTTTGCAAGGAGTTGGGGTAGCCTAAATACAGAAACAGTATGCATGAACGTTCAGGTAAATGCAGCACCTGTTAGTAAATCTGGAGTCCCTATTCTCCCACACATGTGGGGCATCGTAATGTAGATACACACCTCCCACTCATTACCACAAAATCTGCACAGAGGGTTTCAGAGCCATACTGACAGAAAGGAGAATTCATCCACAGTTACATTTTTCTACAGATCCTGAATAGGGGTGCTTTGCTCTTCTTGTACCACTTCAGGTTCAGTGTCCCCTGGTCTGTGGCAGTAAGTTGGTTAACCCAATGCCCACTTCTAGGCCCATTTGCCTTTAACAGCCACCAGTGCAGAGATTTTTTTCCCAGCCAACCTATAGCCTTGAGTAACAAGTGACAACTCTGGGAAACAATGACAGAAGTCTCTAGGCCAGTGGGCACCTATGGGGGAGAGAATTCTGTAATGTTTGGAAATGTTTGCTTTCGAGGAAATATGGGAACCCACAGTCTCCGTGCCCAACCAGCAAAGAGTATCTTTCTGGGTCCACTAGAGGTAGGGCCTGAACGTGGAGACTCACAAGTGCATCCGAGCCTGAATGCACATACGTGGACAGCTTTCCTGATAAAGGATGCAGGACAAGCAAATAGAAAATGAAAGAATTGGTAAAGTGTCCTTCATAGATGTCATTCTATGAAAAGAGTTTGAGGCAAGAGTGAGCAAAAGAGACTGAGAAGATGCTAGACATGGAGGGTGGAATGATCAGGCTCAGTGCTTCAGAGGATGTGAGGGGGTGAGTGAACTTCAAGGCTGAAAACCTGAAGGTCAGAGGTCCAAATCATTCAGAGGCAGAGTCGCAGCTCATCCTTTACTATCCAGCAAATAAGAAGGGCTAGAGTACTGGTTAAAGAAGTGAGGAGGAATTTGTAGCAAGATGAGCAAGTGGATATGATGTGGAGAACAGGGCTTGCTACAACTGGTGAAAAGCTCTCAAGAAATAGTGACATCACCACCAAACACATCTGCCCCCAAGGCTGCACCTCACATCAAGTCTCCTTCAGCTTCCTAGGCCCACTCAGCCACCTGGCCGCCATGGCCAGCAGCTTCCCACAGAGCCACCCAGCAACCAGAGTGAGCCCTAGCAGGAACAAGAAGACATCCAGCAGGTACTGCTCATGCCAGGGCTGCTGAAAGGCATAGGGCTTGAGGTGGGCTGCCCCCCCTGTCTGGAGGATATGGTCGATCCAGCCCACCAGCTTCTGAGAGGGGCTTACAGGGTGGGAGCGCCTGATGACACTGGCTGCCACAGCTGCAGACTTGTACCTGATGGCAGAAAGAAACAGAGGGACCAGCAGTTAGTGTAATGGCTATATCGCTGGACTCCCACGTAGTTGACCACAGTTTGAGTCCTGGACCCAGTGGCTAAAACTCATACTGGGCGCATGTGCGTGCATGCTCAAGATCCTAAGAGGACAATGGAAGAGAAGGGATTGCGGCATGGCCATCCCCCCTGGGGGGGGGTGATTTCTCACTTTCTGTCTCTCTGTCTCTCTCTGTCTTTTTCTGGCGAGCACACGTGCCCTATAACAAAAACCTCACACACACACACCCCAAAAAAAGAAAGAAACAGAGAAGAATGTTACCGACACAGGTTCACAAGCCTTCAAATGTATGATCCTTTCCCATAGGATGCACCAAAGTTTAGGTTTCAAGAGCAATTTTTTGGCCTGGCCCTTGCAATAGTTCACCTGATTCCACTTGAAACATTCAATAATGGTCCTTATATGCAAAAACTCATTCTTAATACTGAAGTGCTAAATGATAAAACAGTGACTCTGTTGGTAAGGAGTCATCCCTACCCCACAGAGGTGTATAATATACTATAGGAAAATTATATATGATATAATGTATCATATATGTACATGCAACACTTCCTTTGTGCCAGTCTCTAAACTAGTGGCAAAAGTAACTGTGGGCTCTGCCAGGCTCAGGGCAAGGCTTTCGTTTCCATGCACCATCAGAGTATGATGCTGACAGCTGGGTTCCTGGGCATGTTCTGCATATCTACACCACACGTTTGTAGTGTCCTGTCCTGGGTTTTTGTCACTGTTGTCACATTCACAAACTTCATAACAAGAGGTCCTACATTTTCATTTTACACCATGTCCTACAAATTAAGTAGCTGGCCTGATGATTCCATTTCTGGGGACAAGTCTAGCCCAGAATGACTTCTTGACTGGAACTGGCATATCATGGCCATTTTGGGTCTAGGTCTTTGAAAAACTGGTAAAAGTTACAAACCCATTCTTTATAAAATGGTCATGCACAACAAACGAAATTGCAAACATATACAACTGTTTTGAAGCTTAACCACTTTTCTAGGGTTCAGAACCACACGCTATGTGGTTGTGTTTTTAACAGCCAAAAGAACTTACTGAGTGTGTCCCATGTACAAGCTAATATGTGAAGTCTTGAGATCTGACTCAGGTTAGTGTCCTTAAAATCCTAATACATTACTTAATTCTGAATTATAAGAAAAAAAAACATATATTTCTCTTCATATGAGATCACAGTGCTGAATAAACAATTTGTTACCTTGGCAGTCACTGGGTTTCTTTATTACATTAGCCAAAACTCATAACCACTTAGCTGGTAGTGGGCCCTGTATTAGACACTGGGAACACAGTGAAAACGAAAGCACTAGCTGTTGTCCTCTTATAGTGACGGGGCCATGCAGGTAACACAAGCTGGTTAAGGATGCTGCCTCCCATTCTAAGGCAAGGCCTGGACTGGGAAGAAACTGAGGCAAGGCCCAGTTTACGAGCTCTCCCTTGTGTCCTTGAACTGGCCGGTATTCAATTTCTCTGCCGTGAGTTTTACTGTTATTACTGTACCGTGTAAGGGTAAAACATCACCCCCAACCATTGCAATAAAGCCAATTAGTGATCTTGTAGGAATGTGGTTCCCTAAGACTGACAGGAGGATCAGGAAGTTTAAGACTCTCCCACCTGTCTGTTTTTAAGCCAAAATTAACATATAGATTAAGTTAGTATAAACCAAATTAGCATTAGAAGCATATGTAGACTAAGTTAGTTTAAGGTTAGTTTTACTTACATACCCCTTGTTAAAGCTACAGGCCACACTAGCAAAGTCAGCACATTCACCACATAACAGAGACTCAGAGATAAAACAAAAGAACTCACTAATTGACAAGACTCAACAAACAAAATGCAGGAACCAGATTTATTAGAGGAAAAAGCCTGGATGGGACAACAGAATAAACAAAGCTGAGGGCTCCACAGAAAGATTAACCATTTTAGCTGGGAGTTCTTATCTAAAGCAACAGGTAGCTTTCAACTACAAAGAGTTTCTCATCTATGTGCTGTTGACCATAAAAACTGCTAATAAAACATCCTGTGTTGTCTCCGGAGCTACAAGATCATCTTCATTTCCCATATAAGATCATAGACTCACCCTCTATTATTGTAATGTATAGACAGTCCATATATTAACTGTGTCTTTACTTAACAAGACAAGACTTCCATCTAAGTCGTAACCAGCAACGTTATGGCCCTGGCCCGGGACTAAAGCTATCAAACATCCTGCAAGCCCCCTCTTCAAAAGACCCTTCCCAGTAATCAAGATCTAAGAAGATACAGCATGTATCACATTTTCAATAAAAAGGCACGATGATTCCTAGCAGTTGTCACTCCTCAGAGAGCGATCTCTGGGAGTGTCCGGCTAAGGACGTGCATGAAAGCATCGAGGCCTTAGTCTTCCTTTCTTTCCAGTGCCACCTCCGTCGAGATAACCCACCCACGCTGAGGCTGGACCCCGGCATTATAGCTTACTTTTGATGCTCTAGTGTAGGAGGACAGATAGTAAAGAAAAACACAAACAAAGAGGATAATTGGAGACTCTAAGTAAAAAGTAAATAATATAATTGAGCTTGTGTGAGAGAGAAGGCTACTTAGGACTGTCAGAGATGAACTTTCTGAGAAATGACATTGCAGATGAGACTCGAATGTCATGCAGGACTCACATGTGAAGAGAAGAGGAGCATTGGGGAGCGGTAAAGACAGAAGACCTAGAATAAGAATGTGGGGTAGTTGCAGAATGGAAAGATAAATTCCGTCTTAGTAGGAAATCTATTTGTAAAGACAACAGAAGTGCTCTCAAAGAGATCCTGTGTATGTAATTTGGTTCTTCATCAAACTGTAAGGTAGAGGGGATGGCAGGTGGCAGGGTAGTTAAGGGCGCTGGACTCCCATATGGCTGACCATGGTTTGAGTCCTGGATCTGGTGGCTTTCTCTCTCTCTCTCTCTCTCTCTCTCTCTCTCTCTCTCTCTCCCCCCCCCACCCGGTCAAATAAATAAATAAAGGTAAATAAAATAATTCTTAAAAAAATGCTATAAGGTAAAAAATTATTCCAGCATCTAACCTAAATTGCTCTAGTCTTTCTCTCAGTACACAAGTCATCTACTTTATGACATACATATTATTCCATGTCCTGGAAAATACAGTTTTTATTGAAAACACAGACCCACACAGTGACCTCAATGTTTATGTCTTCATTTAACCTAAGTGTTCCCAACTCCAGAGAGCTATATACCTCTTGTCTTCTATAACTTGCTTCATCTTAAGAGCCAGTGTGTCTGCCTTGAGTTCTTTTAACTGAAGAGAAACGCCAAGCTTTCTGGCTTCTACTCGGACCATGTTTTCAGGCTGATCTCCAAAGAGAGGAATCCCCACCATAGGCACACCATGCTGAATGGCCTCCATGATGCTATTCTGTCCACCATGAGTAACAAAAAGACGGATGCTAGAGTGAGCTGTGACAAACGAGAAAGAGGGTGGAACATTTCAGGATGAAACATTTCTAACAGGCAGAGCAGAAAGAGCATAAGAAAATGCCAAGGGGATCTAGAGGCACGTTTGAGCCATTGTAAATAATAAATAACTTTTCTTGGGCATATCCAGGGATGTATTTTCCAAGATACAGGATTCCAAGCTTTCCATTATAGAAAGACTTCTTGCCTCAGCCAGAACCTAACTCAGACTTAAAACCCAAAGAACTCTAAGCAATGCATATATTGCTATTTATCCATCCATTCTTCCTTCCCTCTGTCCTATGCCTCCCTTTGATTCGGTCATCTCTGTTCTCTTCTTGTATGTTTCTCTGGGTCTCTCCTTCTCTGTCTCTGTCCTGAACTCTCTTTTATCTCATGCTGACTGATTTTTTTTCTTCTAATTCCCAACACATTTATTGACGGCACAACTCATGTGTCACTTACAAAAGTTTCACTGATATTATTATATCCTCAGTTATATGCAAAGTCTCTTAAAGCAGAAATTGGACCCTATATTTCAGTATTTCCAGTTCCTACCTTGCCATCTCAAAAGTACCTGTCAACTGCAGTGTGCATCAGAATCTCAATCTCCTTATTTCTTCCCTAAAATGGCAATCATGTACCCTCCCCCAGAATTAAAGAAATACATCTACAGAAGCAGAACTAGGAATCTGTTTCTTAACTTCCCCCAGGTTATTTTGAGCCATAATCTTGGTTGTGAGCCTCTTTTCTACTCCGTGGCTATGCAATAAGGCAGCTATAGGCAGCAGCACTGGGTGCAGGCAAAACCCGCTGGTGGATGAGGGAGCTCTCTAGCACCAAGTGATTAACTAATGAGCCAGATAACCAGATTTGAGGTTGTTGAGCTTAAACATGAGTATTTTGACACATACTAAAGAAATTGTTGGCATCAATTTGTGAGGGTATGAATTGCTCAGGCCCTTAGTAGATTAGGAGGAGGTATCAATGCCTATGTATGGAAGTACCCATGTAAGGGCACATGGCTGAACTGGTGCTCATAAAGACACTAAGGAGAGTGGCAACTACACACCCTTCACCACCACTACACTTTCTCAGAATTCACATGTTGTCTTGGTTTTTGGAGGACAACCTTATTCAAGACCAAATGAAAGAGGGCTTAGGGGACCTCAAAGAATGATTGATTCTGGCCATACACAATAGGCCTGGGATAGAAAAGAATACATAAAAAAAAGGTTGTTTTAGTATCTGATCTCATTGAAAGGATAGCCTGATTTCCTAAGAACTTTGGCTAGCCAATCCTTTTCTGTCTTATGTAATCTAAACTTATCTATCAGTAAGGTTGGTACAAATGCCCAGCTAGAGGTCAGAGCCCTGTTTAACCCTAAAGACAACGAAATGGAAAGAGAGGAGCAGATCTGATTCATCTTACCCAGGAGATCATTCTGAGGAAGCCACTCCACGACTTTCACATTTGCCGCCAATTCGATATCTTTAGGCCAGTGAGAACGCCCACACCTCCATATCACCCCTTGAGGGAGTCTAGCAAATGCACCATTCATCTCCTTGAGAACTTTATGGGTCTCATAGGTGCTCACCATAGAACCAAGGGCCACTAGGACAAAACCAGAGTCTCCAAACCTGGTGATGAATTTCTCCAAGTCCTGGAGAAAGATAATGAAGAAGAGGTGACGAAGTTGTTTGTGAAAGTGTAGGCAGTCATGAAATGAAAGTCAGACTATTTACTAACACATCCTCCTTCCACTGCCTCATGTCCATCGTCCTGAAACTTATCACAGCAGGGAGTGAGACTCATGGAGGCTGGATGGAGTATATTCCCATTCTCCATGTCTCTTGGAGATTCTATCCATTATGATAAGAAAAGAAAATAGAACAGGGTAAGACTTCAGTCACCCACACAGAATGGGTCATTTAGCATATGTTGATCCAATATTCCTTGATATTTTTAGTCATTGATATGTGTTCTTCATTGCATACCTCAGTAGATCATTCATATGATTGCAAATTACAGCCATGTGGGAAAGCAGCAATGCCCCCTCCTAACAGAAGACGTGGACAGCTTAAATCAAAAGTTCTCCAGGAAGTTCTTAAGTAAGGTTGCAATTTCATGTCTTAACCTTAGCTTTAACATAGTTTTGTTCATTCTTACTTCCGAACTTTTCTTTAGATGACTTCAGTAACTCCCTCAGCTCCCAACGCTCATCATTAGGGGGCTCAGGCCCCCTGGATTCCATCCAAACATACCATCATCTGACTTATCGTTCCAAAAGATCACTTTAAAATAGCACTGTCAGACTTTGTAATTACAAAGACCATTATATCAAAATTGGAATATGCAGAGAAGAAAAAACTTTTAAAAAGGCACCTGTTATCTCAACCTTATTCTCATTATTATCCTTGCGCAATTCCCTCCCTTTCCTATTTGGCCAACACCTCACTCAACCTCCTATCGACTAAGGTCTCTGGCTTCATTTGTACAATTTTGCCTGGCTTCATTTGTACAACTGAATCTTCCACTACTCTAGTCTGGCCAGAGTTGCCCAGTGAACCATACCTCTCAGGGCAATCTCACTTTCATCTCCACACATTAGGCCCCCTGTGCTCCCCAACTTAAGCAGGTGCTTTTCCCCCCAAGTTTACTCCTACTACCAACACAAATCCATTCTCATTCATGGATTATCTCCCAACTCTTCCTGCTCAGTCAAGGTAAGTGGAGAAGTATAGACACTTTGGTGCCTGCAAGACCCAGAACAAATCCAGGCTCTTCCTGCCTCTGTGCTGAATAGTAGTAGGAAAGCTGAGCACCTGCTTTTCATCTATAAAAACAGAGATGATCACATTTCCTGTCAGTGGCAGAATACTCTATAACATCTGTACAATGGCAACCCAGTGCTTACTAACAACAGCAACCAACTATCTTAGCTCTCTTAGTTCTTCTCTTTAAAGAATTTCAGAAGCAGTGCATTCAACAGTACTTACAACATCCACTGGCTCAGGCCCACCCTAAAAGAATCAAATCAGCAGTTCTTACTATAGCCAGGAGCTAAGTCTCTGCAGGCAGGGTATATGGAGATCATGTCTGCAGATCTTGCTGTCAGTTTCACATGGTCCTGCCCCGGTTACTCAGGTCTCACAGTGTTGTCTGTTGCATTGTGACTAATTTGTCTTCTTCACAGTTATTTGTAACAGGCATTTGCTACATCTTTATTGTACACGTGATCACACAAAATGCAAATGAGAAATACCAACTATAATTAAAGGGCTTATCCCACTAAGGCCAGGACTAGGATAAGGCAAGAGAGAATACCAGTGTGCACCATAGAAGGAGGCTATCAATCTCAGGATCATGCAAGGCCTTACACTGTGCTTGCACATCCCTAAAAGTGAGCACTTCCTTAAAAGGCATGCCCTGTGTACCTGCCTTGCCTTACCCAACTTTAGTTCCAGTATTGCACTGGTAGCTGAAAGCCACCAGCTGTGCACTGAAGGCCTCTACATGAAATCCACATTCAAACTAAGAGTTTACTTACTTGTGGTATTGGTTTAACAGGTTTGGTCATTAAGCCTCCAACATAAATAGTGTTGGGTAACAAGGGCCGAGCAAACTCAAGGGCAAAGTCCGAATTAACAAACCACAGTTCTGATTTCAGTAGCAGATGAAACATAACTGGCCTAGAGCCTGCTGCAAAATGCTCCTCAATGACATTGTCAAACACAGAGTGAATTTTCCTTTGCCTCATGGAGAACTTAAAAAACATCAGAAGATTCTTCACACGGCCCCAGAAGTCCATGTGGTCCGTTAGTAAGGAGTAGAATACTGGAACATAAGACACTGGACTGGGTAACCCGAAGGTCACAGCATTAAAAGAGGATGGAAGAACAGACACAAAGGGTTTCCCAAGCTTCTCAGCAACCAAGTAAGGACAGTAGTCAAAAGTTTCAACTATCACCATGTCGAAGTCCTGATTTTTTAAGGAATCCATGATATCCCTTCTCTTTAGCAATTGACTGCACTGAGATGCAAATTGTTCTAAGAATTTTATAAGGTGCTCAAATCTTGCTCTGTAAGAAAGAAAGTAAAAGATAAACAGAGGAAGTATTAAATTTATAATACATAAAACAATCTTGAATTACAAAGAAAGTATCTCAGGGAAGTTAGAATATATGTACCAGCACTCACATACTGAATCCCTTTACCACAAATACCAACTGCCGTGGCCATTCTGCTCCAAATGTTTCTTCTCCCTAGAGTGTTCCCTCATCCACTCCCCTTTCCCCCATTTATTCAGATCCTATACATCATCAATGAAATTCAAGGCCCTGCTATTCTGCTCTGGGACCATCTTTGACTAAAGCAGATCTCAAAGTTCTACATCCACTTGATAAATGGTCTATTCAACTCTCATTATGTAATGACTTTTTATGAGTGATTTTCTCCTTTTCCCAGACAAACTATATAAGCAATTTATAATAGAATCCATCAATATTGATGATATAATCTATTTTTTAAGAATTATTTATTTAATTTTGTTCATCAATTTTTTTAACTTGATATAAGGCACATGCACTCATCAGAAAGAGAGAGAGAAGGTGAGAAAGCAAGTTGCCAAGTCCAGGATTCAAACTGCAGTCAGCCATGTGGGAGTCCAGATCCTCAACTACAACACCACCTACTGGCCTCTATAATTTATGTTTTTAAGCATTGTGTGTGTGTATATAACCAATTACCTTACCCAAGGGACTCTGAGTCTATCAGAACTTAAATTCTCAGCTAAAAGAAAGAATCTTCTATGCTTAGGAGTTAAGAATTGGGGAAGATGGGGGTGGAGAACCTGATTTTGAAATATGATTAAGCATTCCTTGTCAATGCAGGCAGTGGTAGTCAAAGAAGACCATGCCAAAGCTTTACTGATATGAGTTGTCAGAAAATTCATGACTTATTTTTCTATGAAAAAATATACTGGGAACCAGCAGTTAGCATAGTGGCTATGTCGCTGGACTCCCACATAGTCGACCACAGTTCGCATCCCGGACCTGGTGGCTTAAAACTCACACCGGGCACATGTGCAGACGTGCCCAAGATCCTGAGAGGAGAATGGAGGAGAAGGGATTGCGGCGTGACCATCCCCCCTGGGTGGTGATTTCTCACTTTCTGTCTCTATGTCTCTTTCTGTCTGTCTGGCGAGCACACGCGCCCTTATAGTGAAAATCTCTCCAAAAAAAAAAAAAAAAAGTACTGTGACTTTTCCAGTGACCCAGTATGATGAAGACTTTGCCTGCCCGTGCAAATGTTCCTGAGACAATTCTCGTAGTGCTTTCCACTACAGCCAGCACTGGGTATAATCGTGTTTTAAAGCATTCTGGGAAATAAGATGCCATGGTCAGAGGTGACAGGCACAAGGTCTCTAGACATCAGAGGCCTGTTGGCTGCTTGGAGGACAGAGAGAACTGATTTTGTGGCACACCTGTAACCTGTATTCCACTGCAGCATTGCCGTCCTGTTAGGGAAGGTCTTGAGGCTGAGAATTCACTGGTGACATGCAGTTCTCTGCCTGATCGTTAGGATCAACTTCAAGTCTAAATGAAAATGAGTTGCTGAAATCATTGTCCACTGTGTATTTGTGAAGATAGACATAAAAGGAAAAATTACCAAACCTTTTGGACAATTTCAGGAATGCAGTAAAAATTCCTAGGCTATAGTTTATTAATCACATTTAAAGTTAAACTAATAAATCCAAATATTTCAGGAATGTACTCTTACCTACACCTGTTCTTAAAACTATTAAACTGGGGGAAAAGAGACAAGGCACATACTTAAAATACATAACTAACAATGCAAGACAATATAAACTCAGTGTAAAATGAGTGCATTAGACCAGATCTACAGGGGAGGAAATGTGATCTTCCAGCCTGGGTGAAAAAGAAGCTTTATGAAAAAAGCCACCTTGACTACTGGGTAGAAAGAAGAAAGGGAAAGGTCACCATTATTAATAAGATAGGCATGGGTTTCTGTATTTTCTCTTTTATGTAAAAGATTTCAAAGTTATGGGGACCAGCAGTTAGCGTAATGGCTATGTTGCTGAACTCCCATGTAGCTGACTGCAATTCAAGCCCCAGACCTGGTGGCTTAAACTCACGCCGGGCGCATGTGCCTGCATGCCCAAGATCCTAAGAGGAGAATGGAAGAGATGGGATTGAGGCGTGGCCATCCCCCCTGGGAGGTGATTTCTCGCTTTCTGTCTCTCTGTCTCTCTCTTTCTGGCGAGCGTGCAAGCCCTATAGCAAAAACCCCTCAAAAAATAAATAAATAAGAGATTTCAAAGGTATGTATTTCTTTCCATTCCAGATGGAACAAAATGAGTTAATTTCATGCCTCATTTTCTCTAACAGGTAGATTAATTTTTATAAGAACTATACATGGCCAGATATTTAGCTTCAGTAAAATCAATAGCCAGAAATTTTCCCTCTGTTTATGAACACATGTGAGGAGAAGGGAGGAAGAATAAGTAGAAAAATATGGCTCTGATTTCCCTATCAGTAATAAGAAGTTGAAGGGTCTATCTTTATGTCCACGTTGGAGAATTTATAGACAAAGATTGTAGGTGAAGTTTGCAAGAAAGTCTCAGAAGGAACAATCTTCCCACTTTATGTAGAGATACATTCATGCTTCTAACATTAGAACAGAATAGAAGTGGATATTTCCAGTACTTGTGCTGGATGATTTGGTGTACAATATTCATCTACTCATGCATCTATCATTTGTCCATTTGTCCCTCCATGGTTCATCCATTCGTCTTTTTTTTTTTTTTTGGAGAGATTTTTGCTATAGGGCGTGTGCACTCACCAGACAGACAGAGAGAAAGAGAAGGAATCACCCCCCCCACACACACAGGGGGATGGCCACGCCACAAACCCTTCTCCTCCATTCTCCTCTCGGGATCTTGGGCACGCACGCACACACGCCCGGTGTCTGAGTTTTAAGCCACCAGGTCCGGGACTCGAACCGCGTCGACTACGTGAGAGTCCAGCGACATAGCCATTATGCTAACTGCTGGTTCCCCATTCGTCTTTTTCTATATCCTCATTCCAATATGTTCCGTAACATAGTGACTCTTTGGTTGAAAGAATAAAAACAAATTACCTGCCATTCAAAGCTTCTTCCATAAAGAAATCAAAACATTTGTTAAATTCTTTTTGATTATCTTCAGGTGGAAACCAACTGATAACTTCATATGATTTCTGCCCCTCTTTGAAATCTAAAAAGACACCAATGGATTAGAAAATTAAATACACCATACAACGTGTTAGCATTAACATCATTTTGAACTTTCTTTATAATAGCAATTTTATGTTTATTTGAATGTTTGCTTTTGGGAAGATGTTTATCTTGTTTTGTTTCTCTCATTCATTCTTTCTTGTAAACTGATGTCATTTATTGAGACACATACAATGATTCAGATTTTTTTTTTATCAATTTAAAATCATGGATGCTTCTGGAGCCAGCAGGAGGCACAGTGGTTAAGGCACTGAACTCCCACATGATCGACTGCAGCTCGAGCCCCTGACCAGACAGTTTGAAACTCATGCCAGGCACATGTGCCTCTGTGTCCAAAATCCCGAGAAGAGAATGAAGAAGAAGAGATTGTGGCATGGCCATCTCCCCAGGGTTGGTGGGTGATGATTTCTTGCTTCCTGTCTCTCTGTCTCTCTGGTGAGTACAAATTCCCTATAGGAAAAATCTCTAAAAGAAAAAAAAAATCATAGATGCTTCCATTTAAAGGTTGAGCTATTTGTTCCTATTTTACCAGGTAAAACAAAGGTTAATTTAGTTTAAGATAACCTGTCATGGTAGCACAAGTAAGAAGTGGTGGATTTCACAATTAAATATAGTTTTATTCAATCCCAGAGCCTCTACTTTTTCTATTTAAATTTTTTTTCATATTTGAAGTTACCTATGCAAATACTTTTTTTTATTCGATCAAAAAATATTAAAAGGCTTCATTGTAATAGTGGTTCCCTACATTCCTACTTATCAGCTTAGCCCTTTCCCCATTACTGATGTGTAATAAAAAATTTAACTTTGTTTTTTTGGGTTTTTTGGTTTTTTGGGGGGTTTTTTGCTATAGGACGTGTGCGCTTGCCAGACAGAGAGAGAGTGAGTCAGAAAGCAAGAAATCACCCCCAAGAGGGGATGGCCATGCCACAATCCCTTCTCCTCCACTCTCCTCTCAGGATCTTGGGCACACACACACACACGCCTGGTGTGAGTTTAAGCCACCAGGTCCAGGACTTGAACCACAGTCCACTGCATGGGAGTCCAGCGACACAGCCGTTACACTAATTGCTGGTCCCATCTGTCTGTCTCTTTTTGATGAGCACATATGCCCTCTGATGAGTTAGAAAAAAATGAAAGAGAGAGAGAGTGAGAGATAGAGCAACAAACGGCGTATGCCCTCTTAATCCATGTGTGCCTTCATCAATCGTAACATCCAAACCAAATTTTGTGTAGAGTTTGGGAGTAGGTTAATGTAAGATCCCATTATTGAGTCCCTCGTTCCAACTAGAATTGAAATTGCCGACCCCTTTCAAGTGTCTTTGGGCAAATACTCTGCAGTCACAAGTGTGTCTGGCATTTCTGTCCAGTGCCTATTTCAACAGACTCTCACTCACAATTTCCCTTCACCTTGGAAAGGGCACAATATACCTTTAAGTGGCTAACCATGGGGTCCTACTACTGCCCACAGTCTTTGCCAGCAAGGGCTTAACCAGCTTTTTCCAGTGGCAATGAGGATGAATGTCCTCCTTTCAAATATTTATTTGACATACTTATTCAAGCCATAGAAACATTCACAAAGCTCATCAAAAGGACAACCCATTGCCCCACACAAACTACAGTACCCAGTACCTCAGTTAAATCCCTGGGAATTATTTGGTCAGTCAGCGGTCTCAAATTCTGACACAACAAGAAACAACTATTGGGGCCAGCAGGTGACATGGTGGTTAAGGCTCTGGATTCCCACATGGCCGACTATGGTTCAGTTCCAGACCTGGCAGCTTGCTTTCTCATTTTCTATCTCAATCTCTCTTCTCTCTCTGTGTCTCTCTCTGATGAGTGCACATGCCCTGTAGCAATTTCTTAAAAATAATAATAGTGATAAATAAAATCAAATAATTCTTTAAAAAAAGAGAAAGAAACAACTATTGAGCCTCTCTGCACCTATAATGCTGCAAGTCTAAAATTTTTTAGGCCTTTTTCCTTCTAGAGAAAACATATTTCTAATTTTTGTGTTTTACTTAAACTCATTCATGCATGTTACTTTAGAATCAACCTATATTGAATAGGGCTTCTTATAACAAAAGGGTCTAAAATCTGTCCAAATTGTGAAAGGAAAGCAAGGACCAAAAAAAGTCTGACCCCCTGAAAAACTCAGACAAGTAGAGGAGAGATTTTGTCACAGAATGACCAGAAACCACTGCAGAGGCACAAGAAATATGAGAAACCATTTAAAAATATTTCCCAAAATCCTGAGAAGAAAATGGAGAAGAAAGGATCGTGACATAGTCATGCCCCCTGGGGAGTGATTTCTTACTTTCCAACTTTCCCTATTTCTATCTCTCTCCTTCTCTCTCTCTCTCTGTATCTCTCCTTCTGTCCTACCTTCCCTCTCTGGCAGGTGCACACAGCCTTTAGCAAAACTAATAAACAAATAAATGAATGAATGAATAAATAATTTACTGAAAAAAGTTTTCAAACAATCTGAATAATAAAAAAGACCAAAAGTCACATTTAAAGTTTTCTAATAACTCAGAATTTTGTTTCTCAAAGATGCTTACTTTGGGATTTTTCTTCCATCCTACCTTCCCTCTCTGGCAGGTGCACACAGCCTTTAGCAAAACTAATAAACAAATAAATGAATGAATGAATAAATAATTTACTGAAAAAAGTTTTCAAACAATCTGAATAATAAAAAAGACCAAAAGTCACATTTAAAGTTTTCTAATAACTCAGAATTTTGTTTCTCAAAGATGCTTACTTTGGGATTTTTTTTTTCATCAAAATCTGAGGCACACTTCCGTATTGAGCAATCCAGAGCTTAAACCCATTCAACTGTTATTAACCTGTTGTGAGCTTGAGCAAATCTTTTAGGTTCTCTAGGCTTCCATTTCCTTGGCTGTCAACACAGAACAATTGACAATATTTATGAGCTTCCTAAGTTCTCTGGATTCAATGACTCGGAAACTTCTTTTTTTTTGGAGAGGTTTTGCCATAGGGTGTGTGCGCTCGCCAGACAGACAGAGAGATAGAAAGCGAGAAATCACCCCCCGGGGGGGGATGGCCACACTGCAATCCCTTCTCCTCCATTCTCCTCTCGGGATCTTGAGCACGCCCACACACGCGCCCGGTATGAGTTTAAGTCACTGGGTCCGGGACTCGAACTGCGGTAAACTACGTGGGAGTCCAGCGACATAGACATTACGCTAACTGCTGGTCCCAATGACTCGGAAACTTCTGAAATTATCACACACAAGTTCATGGGCAACTATAGATTTTTCAGAAACTATGAGATCATCTCAATGCTAGATTCTTATCTTAGCTGCATAAATGAGGGTCTTCCTAAGAGAGCCTTACTATATTTCAGATCATAAGAGCAAAAAATAACCTATGATACATACAAATAAAAGAGTCCTAGGACACATAAGGGCTGAATACTTCTGTTCAAGCTATATTATGCTATGTTATAGAGTAATATTTATCAAAATAATCTGTGATAATGTGTGGAGAGTTGCTTAGGATGTAGAATAAGTCTAGGTAAGGGAGAAAATAAGGCAGAATGGAGTGTAAAATCTGGTCGATAGAGCCTAAGGTTTCCAACACTTATACATACACACATACACACACCTTTTTTATACTTTCAAACCAATTAGAGTTTCAAAAATAAAATTTTTCTGGGCTAGCAGGTGGTGTGGTGATTAAGGCACTGGACTCCCACATGGCCAACCACAGTTATGAGTCCCAAAACTGGTGGCTTGAAAGTCACACCATGTGTGTGTGTGTGTGTGTGTGTGTGTGTGCCCAAAATCCTGAGGAGAAGGGATTGCAGCATAGCCTTTCCCTCTGGGGTGGGGTGTGTGGGGGGGATTTCTCACTTTTCCTGTCTCTGTTCATCTCTAGCAAGTACATACACACTATGGCAAAAAAAAAAAACTAAAAATAATTTCTGAGCCTTTCTGTGCAAAAAACATTCTGCTCTTTGCCTGGAGTATAGAACTCAACAATTAGTGAGAAAAGATACCTGATATCAAAGAATTTCCTCTTCTGAGAAGCATGGAGACATTATGACCATGATCTTGAAGAATCTGAGATACCCGGTCCATCAGTAGGTAATGGCTCCCACCTAGGAAGAATGCACATCATCAATTTTGTAGAACAGAGAACAGAGGGTTTGAAGCCGGCAGGGTGATAAATCAAAGAGGAGTAGAAAACAGAAAGTGAATAGTGAATAGTAGAAGATGAGGTTTGTCAATCTCTCCTTGGGATAAAGCCCAGCCTATGCATGTGGAAACTAACTTTCCAAATCCTTGACCTGCAGTAACCCTCAATCAAAGATTTCCTCTTGTGACCTGTGGTCTCCACCTTAGTGTGGTGACTTTTCCTGTGCTTAGGCCTTAAAGGTGTTCCTCATTCTTACTGGACAATGTATACATGCTGCATTTTTTAATTAAAATGATTTCTTTAGTTGTATTTGCTATTATTATTTATTATTTTTTAATTTGATCAAAGAGACAGAGACAGAACAAGAGAAGGAAAGTGAGAAAGCAAGCCACCAGGTCCAGGACTCAAACCATGGTCAGCCATGTAGGAGTCCAGCACATCACCTGCCAGCCCTGATACATGCTATATTTTAACCAGGACTTCACTGACACATTGAGTCTAGAGAAATAATTGCAATAGCATAAAATGTAGTACAACACCATGAACTTGAGTTTGAAGGGTACCTAATGGACAATCAGAGCTATTTTTAGAATCTTTCTCTTTATAAATGTGTATCTCTGTAGGAGGGAAAAATACAGGAGCTGAAAGTTGAGTGTGGGAACAGACATAGGACCAGAAGAATGGGAATCACAACTTAAAGTGCTTGAGATTCGAATGTATTTGGCAGGAAGTTTCCTAATTTGAGTGTGAAAGTTTCTCAATTTAGAATTAAGATACGGGGACCAGCAATTAGCGTAATGGCTGTGTCGCTGAACTCCCATGTAGTCGACCACGGTTCAAATCTCGGACCCGGCAGCTTAAACTCAACGCTGGGCGTGTGTGCGTACGTGCCCAATATCCCAAGAGGAGAATGGAGGAGAAGGGATTGCGGCATGGCCATCCTCCCTGGAGGGTGATTTCTCGCTTTCTATCTCTCTGTCTCTGTCTTTCTGGCGAGCGCACGCGCCCTATAGCAAAAACCTCTCCAAAAAAAAAAGAATTAAGATATGTAAGACAGCAATGGAGCCAACAAATGAGACTCCTGGATTGTAGGAGCATGCGAGATGGAACCACTGATATGAGGACAATCTTGGATCCTACAGAAAGAGAATCTTGATCTTCAGTAAAAGAACAGGTCTCACAACATCAATATCTTCTCCAACTCAGAGCTTTTGCTTTCATCAAAGATCTCAGAAGCAGGGAAAGACAGATCAGGAAAGAACCTAATGGCAAATACCAAGAGTTTGGGCATAAGGGTGGGAGTGTGTAGAGCTTGGAAAATGGAGTGCAGCTCTGGCAGTAACTCTGCTTTTTAATACCCAGACTGGTACAGTTTGAAGTAACAAGGGACATATAAAACACAAAACCCCTACCCTCCTTGTTCACATATAATGCATATAAGAACTGTGATCTAGGTGAGGCTGTGGTGAAAAGGGAACCTCCTACACCTTTGGTGGGAATGTAAATTAGTAAAACCGCTGTGGAGAACAATATGGAGCTTTCTCAGAAACCTTCAAATAGAACTATCTACCCTACCTCCAAATAATTCTACTCTTCTGTGGAAAGGATAGGAAAACCCTCAGTCAGAAAAACATTTGCATAACCATGTTTGTTGCAGCATTCTTCGTAACTGCTAGGACACAGACTCAACTCGAATGTCCAAGAAAAAAATGCGGCACATGTACTCTGTGGAATACTACTCAGCCATAAAAATGTGGTACATGTACTCTGTGGAATACTACTCAGCCATTAAAAATAACAACAACAACAACAAAACAAACAAACAAACAAAAACAATGAAACCCTGACATTTGATATAAAGCAGATGAATGTTGCAGAGCAGTTGGACCTTGAGGTGGTTAGTGCGTATGCACCATAATGAGACACAGAGCACTGTGCTTGCTCGGTCCTGAAAACAGGAGCTCATGACCACATCAGCCAGATAGAGTTTGACATGTTCCCTAAACATGCCTCACAGGCCTACTGCTACCTTAGCAGGTGCAAAAACTTTAGCACATGTTTTCCCGCTCCCCAGTGCCCTCCTTCTCAATAAACACACAGAGAATCAGCTAGTCTGGGTTACACTCCTCTGAGACTGTGAGCCTCCTGGCCTCCCCATGAAAGATTATTGCTTGTCTTGTGTGTTTTATCTTGCTCCATTTCCATAGGTCCTATGTTTTGGCTGTTCTGGATGCAGCAGATGAATATGGAAGGTGTAATGCTAAGTGAAGCAAACCAAGACTATGGAAGATAGGTATTGCATGTCCTTGCTTAACATATAGCGAATGCCTGCATTTTATAACAGAAACCTAAACACTGGAAGATATAATAGCAAGGAGGGTAACTGCAGTTACTAGAAACAGTATAAGAGGGGTTGGGTAATAGTGGCTAAGTAATAGGGTATGAGAAGGAGGCGGTCAGGAAAAAACAACATTTAATAGACACAAGAGTGAAAAGTTATTTGTTGATATATTGTATATGGTAATGCTAATGACCTCATAATATGTACTGTATCCATGCTGGGAAAAACCAAGTTGTAGATTGTAAAATAGGGATGCCCACAGATGTAGCCCCTTGGAGGAGCTGGTGGTGAGCCAGGTGCATTCTCGGGAAAGACAAGGATTCTCACCAGCTCCCTAGAATCTGACAGAGGGGACCACTGATGAAAGAAAGAAAAAGAAAGAAGAAAAGGGAAAAAGAAAGAAGAAGGAAGCCTTTTAGCTTCACTGCTACTAAAACTTAGAAAGGAAAAACACGGCTTTCAAATGAAGTTAGTTTCTTCAACACAGCTTTTTGAAAATCCCATTGAAAAACCAACAGATGAAGTACTGGTTCTGACACTGGACTCCCACATAGTAGACCATGGTTCAAGTCCCCAACCTGGCAGCTTAAAACACATGAATAGCATAAATCCAGAGAGGAGAATGGAGGAGAAGGGATTGCAGCATAGCCAACCCCCTGGGGAGGTGATTTCTTGATTTTCGCTTTCTGTCTCTCTGTCTCTGTCTCTCCAGCGAGCGCGCACACACCCTATAGCAAACAAACAAACAAAAACCCTCTTTAAAAAAAGAAAAGAAAGAA